CTTCCTATTGCTGATAATTTCAGGTGACCATCACCACTGAATGTGTGCTCAATATTGGCCTGAAGTAAAGATTTGGAACTTAAAAACCACCATGGAAAATGATATCTGCAGACTGAAGGAAAGTGTCAATTGTTCTGTTTTGATAGATGTGACAGGTTACTTTGGGCAATGCGCTAAGTTTTCAATGAAATTTCTGTGCTAACCTTGTCAGATTGCTAACGGTAATACTAAGGATGCACTACCACTTTCCTAAACCAAGTTAACATACTGTTGGATCGAAGGTTAGATTTATAGATAAGAGCATATAAGTCAGAAAAGAGCTGTTGCACTCTGGGATCAACTACATCACAATGAGTGTTGTCACTCCAGCTATTTTGCAGTTCAAAACAGTGACAGTGGTATCACTGGGGAGTTAGGAAAAGCAGGTTATAATAACAAATCAAATTAAGCCATTTTTAAATTTACAGCTCTGATGTTCCTACTGTCACGTGTCAAATGTCTTATAATCTATATTAATCCATGTATTCAATATAATACAACAATATTCAGAAGCATATAGAGAGCATTTAAACTGTGTTGAGAGCCAGCGATTTGTGAGATCTTTTGCTGTTTGTAATTCAGGGCTACATGTTCAATGAAACTGCGTTTTATTCAGCAGACAACAACAACTTTGCTCTCTGCTAACAGATAATATGCAAAAAGTGAAAGTTTCATTAATGTCTGACTGCACCGATGCGCATCACTGAAGACGGACATTAATGAAAGTCTGCCATCACAATGTTTGTCTGCTGGGATTTGCACATTAGGCTGAAATAGATCAGAATTCAATAACTCGGTATTTTGAACAATATTGTGTATTGATGTACTGCTTCTGCTCTGGATGACAGTACATTCAAAATAACGCTTATTGTTTCCTCTAAGGCTGTTTTGAACTCATGTTACAGGGTGTTTAGCTTTGGTTGGTGTGCTGGGTGTTAAGTGAGTTAAAACCTCCAAATTATCTCTGGATAATAAACATGCTTACGAGCGCGCGCCCTCACCTGCGTGCAGACACTCACCTTCCAGCCTGCGGAGCTATTACTGTCTCCTTTATCCTTGAAGTAAGGCACACTCTTGACCATCCAGTCGTAAATCTGAGACAGTGTCAGCCTCTTCTCGGGTGAGCTGTCTATCGCCTTAGTAATCAGGTCAGCGTAGGACATGTTCCCCCAGGCGTTGCGACGGGACGAGCTGCTCTTCCTCTGGCCGGAGTTGCCCAAGAATGCGACGCCAGGAGCAGGCACCTGTTGCTGAGGCAGCAGCTGCGGACCCGGGAGCTGCTGCTGAACATGATGATGGTGGTGGGGGTGATGCAGATGGGCACATTTTCCCTCTCGACAATGAAAGTCATTGCAGTGCACAGACGGTTTCTGCTCTGTGTACTCTTCATAGTCCTCCTCTAACAAGCCAAGGTTGCTAACGAAGTCGGTGTTTCCTCCCGGCTCCTGCTTCACCGACGGGGCCGGGGAGGATGTGTTGGAGTTGGCCGGGTCGATGAACTCAGGCCGGGGGAGCGGCCAGGTGCAGGACCGCGGTCGGGAGAGAGGCTCAAAGTCCGGGTCTATCTCAACCAGCTGTGCTTCTGGTCGCGGTACCTGAGCCATGACAGGGTCAAACTGGAGCGCAATATCACATAAAAACTCACATACAATTATTAACTAATGAGAAAATAAAAAATAAGGTAAGGTAAAAGTAGAAATAAGTCTAAATAAAATTTCTCGTTCACCGCCTGAGTCAAATCGCCCACTAAGTCACAAACACCGTAAGAGAGACTGGTAATTCAAGTCAGAGAAGTGCTCTCACACCATCCTACACAGACTAGCTGCAACTCTCAGGTCTGTCGCTCAGGCATAGTACAGTCTGATGCTGCCTTCACGGCCCACTCACGGGCTCCGTCTTCCGGGTTTCACAACTTAAAAGGGCCATTCAAGTGCTCTTGTTGAAATCATGCCCAGAGACTTGTATGAAATGAAATGTGCAGTTAAAGCTTATAGAATTAGACAATTATCAATTAGCCCTACCAAACATATTTTTATAATCTACTCTTCTTGGATGATGGGTTGTTGTTATTGTTGACGTTGTTGCTGTGTGTGTTCTTTATGCTCCCTCAACCCCAGCTCACCTCGATCAGCTCTGTCATTGTAAACAGTCGGGAGATCGTTCGCAATTCCAACTCATTTTAACGGTACAGGAACGCACCATAGAAGCAGAAATATGCAAACTAAGCCTGACGCTCTAAGAAATACTGTACATTACAAAGAAAGTAAAGATTTAATGAAACCCCACTGGAGCAGAAGCAGAGAGAAACGCTTCTTAATCCGGCAAGACTGTAGGACCTCACGGGCGGTCCTGTCGACTCTCCTCTAGAGAAAGTCCCCTGTCCTAAAAGTCACTAGATTGCATGGGTGCTTAAGATTTTGAGAGCCAACACACACACACTACATAAAATATCATTAAGCCCCTTTGATTAAAGGTTGGTCAATCATATCCAGTTTTGGCATACTGTGGATAAAATTACTCCAACACGTTACTGCATTTCACAGGGAGTTTTTTTGTTGTTGTTGTTGAAATACATCCTTGTTAAATAATTAGAAATCATTTTTTATAGGACCATAACTGTCAATAATGCCATCTAGTGGGTTATTTGAATATGAGAAACCTCTGAGCAGAACCAGGTGCCTTTCCACAAAAACACTTTCTTTGTACTTTATACAGCCCCTAACACACATGAGGAAGTATTACCAACATCTATCTTATCATGCCAATCATGACTGTGTAAGGAAAAGTGAACAAAATGTGGAAATGAGGCACATTCAAATGTCAAGCTCCCGCTTTCTACACTTTCACAGACAATAGATTGCTGGGGGTGTTTTTAGACCAGAAGGAATCTGCGGTACAATAACTTCCCTTGCAAAGGGCACAAGGTGCAAGGTGTAATTATGCTCCTACTATAAACCCCATCAGACGCTGCTCACAGGCTGCCTGAGAAAACACCATTAGTAACGGTACAGGTGTTTGTATGATCTTTGACGCTACATGAAGACAAAAATATTTTCAACCTATGTTTTTATCTGAAGGTCTATTAAAAACCCATCAACTTGATTTTTGGTTTGATACAAAACCAAACCTTTTACATCAGTAGTAGAACTCAAACAAGCAAAAAAAAAAAAAAACATTACATACCTTATAATATTTATTTACTTTGCACTAGTATGTGTTTGAGGAACATTTTTAATTTCTTCCTGCATATTTTTCCTCCACTGTGCATAAAACAGTGGTTCTACGGCCTGATGAACATTTTAGAAACAGCTGATACTGGACACAGACTTGATGCCAGACCAAGAAATCCAAATCGGGATCTTCTACTAGGACCTGTTAAATTGTACAAGTAAAGATAATCATGGTTGCAAAGCCCCCGCTGAGGAAATGGATTTTTGTTTTTTGCGTCCACATTCAACAAATGTTGAAAAACTATTTACTTGTCTTATGTTTAGTTAAGGAAAACTTCAGCCTCTCTGAGGACATCCTCTTTTTGATGGAAGTAGTCTCTGAACCAGGAAATGTGCTCCTTTTTCTGTTGGACTGTCAGGTAGGGGTTTCTGGACAAACCAGCCACCACTAGCTCCATGAAGTGCCGCACTGGTCCCTGACGGGGGAAGCCCTCTTCCAAGTGTTTCTCTAAGAACACATGCTCATGGAACGGGACGCTGGCTTCCTCCTCAAGCCCTTAACCAGAGAAAGAAGATAATGTCAGTGTCTCCCTCATCCAAACTTATCCCTTTGCATATACTAAACTCAAATACTCACCAGCTTCATTGTTGATAGGATACTGCCACAATTTACCCTCTTTGGTCCACTGGATCATTTCTTCAAGCCCGTTGCGGGGCATTTGATTGATTGACAGAGACAACTGAGTTGCAAGGTCTATGTCCCATAGAGTTGGCCGTGCTGAAAATATCATATCAGTATTATGGGCAGATGAAGTTTAAACCACGTTTTTTGCGACAATAAGCATTAAGTGCCACATTTCATCAATTTGAGCAGGAGAGGCAAAATTCTGGAGGACAAAGGAAACAAAACTTTGACTCAGCATTTTAACAAAATGGTAGAATGAATCTGGTGAGAAGGAAGAATGCTGTAAAATAAGAAAGGGATCTCGTGCAGTGCAACATATTGTACATTTAGGACAATACACCCTTGAAATATTTTAAAGGACCAAAAACAAACACCACCATAAATCTCCCACTTCAAGCAAGCACAGCCAATAAAGAGTAGCAAGCTTAATGCAGAAAAATCTAAATTCTTTATTACCAAATGCAGATTCAGCTCCATCTTCATCAGTAGTCAGGGAGAAGATGTTAAGTTTTTTCCCTGTGAACAAAGTTTGCCTAGAAAAAATAAATAAAAACACTCATTAGACACATGGGCCATCTGAGAAACCTTCAAAGTATAGATGTGATGAGAGTATTTACCTTATGTCACGTCTATATCCATGGCCGTCGTCATCAAACCGGATCGCGCTTGTTGGCCGAGCTTTCTGTCGACTGGGATTCTTTCTTATTTTCATGTCAGTGATAATTACCCTAAGAAAATACTGCTGGATTAATGTTTATTACATATGAATAAAGACATATTTGCTATTACGCAAAATAAAAAAGCACAAAAAACAACCACTGAAGACATAAATATTGGACCCCAGGACACATACCCCAAATTGTTCACTTCCCCATTCTTCTGAGCCTCAGTGATGGCCTCGTGCTGCCTCAGCTGTCTGAGTAGCTCAGACTCAGCCTGGCTGCGGTTAGGCAGTGTAGAGGCAGCAGCAGATACAGCTGCAACCAGCTTGGGATCCAGCGTCACACTAGCAAGTGCAGAGAGGCTTGAATCAGTGGATGAAAAGAGACCAAGGCTTCAACTTTCCTCCCAAAGCAAGGATGTAAATATGTGATATACTTACAGGCACAAACTACAAATCAACATCCTCCTCACCTCTGTGATGAATCCTCCACTGTAGCCTTCTGAAACATACTGATGGTGCTCTCTGTAGCAGCTAGCCTTGATTTAGGGGCATAAGTTTGCTTCACTTTTAAGTTTTTGAGCTTTCTCTTATTGGTAACTTCCACCTTCATGGCTCCAAGAAGGTCCAGGAGACTCTCCTTCCCACTCTTGGGTGCATCAGAATTTACTGGTTCAGGCTTTTCCACAACCTGCTCAAACTTAATATTCATCTTCTGCTGCGTGGCACTTCCATCATCTGTCTTTGACACCACTGGCTCCTCCTTTTGCTCAGCAGTCTTAATGACTGTGCCGTCATCTTCGGCCTTCTGTGTAACCAAAGGTGCAGTTTCTATTGGGTCAGCCTCTTTATCTGTGTTTGTTTGCTCATTTTGATTAGAGGGTAAAACATTGTCTTTCTTTTCACAGAGACAAGCTGGACTTGTGGTGAAGGCTTTTAGCCCACCTCCATTTGCAACCCTATGTTAAGAACAAATCAGAGTTAATCATCATAGCAATCTGAATCAAAAAGGATCACAGGAGTCTGAATATTATTACAATATTCATTATTGAAATGGCCGTGCAGTCTTAAAAAACATCATGATAAAGTAGGGATTTTCTGCAAAATGATATTCTTAGTCATGTAATCAAACACATAAAAACATTTTCATATTAATTTCAGCAACAGACAAATCACCTCTGTTGCAGTCCATCCTTTACAACCTTGAACTGTCTGTTTGCTTGAGATGGTGAAATGACTGTTGCGCTGCAACCTTTGGCTGTTAATGTCTTCTCACAATGGTTACATTTTTACACTAGCTCGTTGTATATCTGACCTTTTATTTAAAAAAAAGCCACTTGCAAGCCCCTTTTTGTTAATCACTTTGTTTATAAAGTCCCAGAAAATAGTAAAAGAAATACTTTCCCTGACATCATAGTGACTTCTGACTATAGTGTCTGTTATCATCCAGTGAAATATTTAGCTAACATAAGAAGTCGGATGTTCTCCAAGTACAACACAGTATAATGGTTTGTGAGCCATAGTGGGACTTGTTAATGAAACAACCTGCCAAAGATACAGCTGAACCGATCGAATAAATGTCAATCAATCAAATGTCCCTCCCCACCAGTGTAGGCTGAATAAGCTAATAGCTAGCTTTCCCTTCCTCAGTATTTATGGAGGAAAAAATATCTAGGCGTTTCGAAATTACATTGCTAAAAAGGTACAGAGGTTGTCCACTTTCTATTCCATAAAGATACACCACTATTAAACAGCCCAGTACGTGGTTGGCGTTAATAAGTCACGTTTCTCCATGTTTTTATCCGTTAAGTCACAGCCTCAACCCACCTGAAAACTGGAGCTATAGCCTTGTCGCATTTAGCTGGGAACACGCACAACTCGTAAACACTAGCTGAAGAATTTCGAGCCGTGTAAACGGTCCGCCATAAAAATCTATACATGATTGCTTTTTGTAATGTCCTTCCACGTTCACGACACTTCTCTTTGTTGCTACATCATAAGATCACCCCCGTAAACTCTAGGATAAATTAGTTCCGGATATTGTGTCGAAAAAAAGTGTTCCCCCTGTTAAAAGCTGGGTTTGACGTAGCGCCCATATCAGCGGTTGTGATTAGGATAATGTTAGGGTTCAAGTTAGGTTAAGTTTGGGGAAACATATCTCGATGGGGAAACAGATTTTGACACAACACCGAACACTGGGGTAAGAATAATATTCTACGTAGGAAACCGTGAAGGAAACTAACATTTTATTCAGTTATAATGTGAAATTATGTAATTATGACCCTGGTCATTTTGCATTTTAAAATGCACGTCTTTAACTGAGTTGTAAATTACATTCTCTACATACTTGAAGCAGCTAATCTGTCTACAGGGTACTTAATTATAATCTCGCGATATCACTACCGGAACGTGACTCAAAATGGCGATGAAACTGAAGCGCTAATTCATGAACGGAGGTTTCAGCTACAATTTCGGAATTACTTAGTTATTTGCATCGAGACATGGATGTTCATAGAGAAGAATTACCTTTGCAAAACAATCATTGTTGCAAATCTCAAAATTGAAAGTTTTTATTCGTAAAGGTTCCTACTTAAATTCAGAAGGGAGAAGACAACTTTGTAGAGGTAAAAATATCAACCGAGGCTAAGTTACTAGCATGGAAGCTAACATGCAGTAAATTTTGCTCATTCTTATGTTAGCGTTAATATTAAAGAAATGCACAGTCGTTAAAAGGATTAAATTTGCGAGGTGTGTTATGATAGCTGTGAACGTGTTGGATTTGTGTAAATCTACTTTTGATGTGGCTTGTGTGTTGAATATACCGGAATGGCTGTGGTTCCGTGAGTGTGTTCCGTGTTTGTTTACACGCACGGAGTACATGTAAAACCTTTTTAAAGTATTCATCTGTTCGTCTTTTTCATGTTTTACAACATTGTTTCCAACACTGAATCAGAGATGATGTATTCAGGATTTTGACACTGCAGACATTAAAGAATGCTTATTGGCATTTTATGCCAAATTCATTAATATTGTGCAGAAATGTCACACTTGTAAATATCCCCTCTCAGGTCAATAGTTAGTTGAAGCTTGTTTAGCACCCTTCAGTTTATGCAGATGGGATCGTGCTAGCTTTTCATATTTGGACATGAAACGTTTTTAGAAAATGGTCTTGCCAGGTTGCACTAATAATCTGCGTCTTTCACATTTTTTAGTTGTATAAGAAATATAACTTTTTAAGTTCTGGACCTGACATAAACATTATTATTTTAAAACCATAGCCTTGACTTTCTGCGTACGATTCTTTTCATCTTGCCTTCATGTTACCATACCACAACATGATGCTGTTTACACCAGGGCTCTTATTTGTGTTGTTGTGTTTTGTTGATCTGTGGCTTTTGTGCAGCTACATAACAAGGTTATATTGTTGAAAAATAGCTAAATAATCAGCCGCAGTATGATGTGCTTTTTTTTAATATATACTGCTAGTCAAAGGTTTGGAAACACCTTCCCACTGAACTGAATGTTAAAGTGTGTTTCCAAATATTTTCACTGGTAGTGTATGCCAAATAATATGTCAAAATGCTGACTTTGATTGAGGTTGTATTCACAGATGTGTGTACTTTGTTAGCCATGGCAGAAGAACGACGGCAGAAGCAGTGTTCAGTTGTCCTGCCTACGGAGTCAATGAAGGCCATAGCAGAGTCTGTGGGAGTGGGGCAGTTACAGGAGGAAAGCTGTATAGCACTAAGTGAAGAAGTTAGCTATAGAATAAAAGAAATTGCACAGGTAAATCATGTGTGAGTAAAGCATGTAGTCTCCTTGTGGGTCTGCTCTAAAACTGTGTTTTTGAACATCTCATTTTTGTCATATTTGATATATGTGCTTTATATTTGAAATCAGTCAGGTCTCTTTTCTTTATCCCTTTTATAAAGGATGCTCTCAAGTTCATGCATCATGGGAAGAGACGCAAATTAACTACGAGTGACATAGATAATGCTCTCAAACTAAAAAATGTGGAGGTATGGGAGAACTTGGATACATTAACTTTTTGTCTTATTAAACCTCATAATAGGTCTTATTTGAAATGTTTTGCTCTAATGTTTTCTTAATTGTGCGTTCTAAATAAATTTCTCTTGTTATAGCCCTTGTATGGGTTCCAGTCGCAAGAGTTTATCCCTTTTCGCTTTGCAAGTGGGGGTGGAAGAGAGCTTCATTTCTATGAGGAAAAGGAAGTTGACCTCAGTGACATTATCAACACACCACTCCCCAGAGTTCCACTAGATGTGTCTCTCAAAGGTACACAGATAAATCAGCATTACATGCTGTTATACTTTAGTGTATTGTCATGTATGTTTTGTAAAGATATGCACCCTGCTTGTGTTTCAATCCATAGCCCACTGGTTAAGTATTGAGGGTGTGCAGCCTGCTATTCCAGAAAATCCACCACCAGGTGAGTTATGCTTCAGTTTTTTTCTTTTAAATTACAAAACTACATGAAAAGAAAACTTAATATTAAGCTTTATTTACTCCATTTCAGCACCAAAAGAACAGCAAAAGGCTGAATCTACAGAGCCCCTCAAAGTCATCAAACCTGGTCAGGAGGAGGAAGGTGCAATTCAAGGGAAGAGTCAGGGGGCAACAGCTACTGACAGCAAAGGTTAGTATCTCTGTGTTGTATTAAAATTAAACTTTCTTTTCTTTTCATGCCCTCCCACACCAGGCTTCTTTCTTGCCTCCATAATCTTTTATGGTTACACTTGTCTCCATCTTCCCATGTGTGTATCTGTGTCTTTCAGGAAAAGAGAAGGGTCTAATAAGGTTAAAGCCACGCAGCACTCACGAGCTGTCTGTGGAACAGCAGCTTTACTATAAGGAAATCACAGAAGCGTGTGTTGGCTCCTGTGAAGCAAAGAGAGCCGTAAGTCCCGCCAGTACATACAGTCATGTGAAAAAATTAGGACACCCTTTGAAAGCATGTGTATTTTGTAACATGTTTTAATATATGGTTATTTAATCTTAATTTTAACAATACAGAGAGATTAAAGTAATACAACTAAACAAGTAAAACTGAAGAAAGGTCTTTTCAAGATCTTCTGTAAATGTAATTCTACAAAAATGCCTATTCTAACTGAGGAAAAAGATAGCACACCCTAGCCCCTAATAGCTAGTGTTACCTCCTTTGGCTGAAATAACTGCAGTGAGACGGTTCTTGTAGCCATCTAATAGTCTCTGACATCGGTCTGAGGGAATTTTATCCCACTCCTCAATGCAGAATTGTTTCAGCTGTGAGATGTTTGAGGGGTTTCTTGCATGTACAGCCCTTTTCAAGTCACCCCACAGCATCTCAATGGGATTCAGGTCTGGACTTTGACTCGGCCATTCCAGGACTCTCCATTTCTTCTTTTCCAGCCAGTCTTCGGTTGATTTACTGTCAGCTTTAATTTTCTAACCGATGGTCTCACATGTTCTTCAAGCACCTTCTGATACACAGTAGAATTCATGGTGGATTCTGTGATGGTGAGCTGACCAGGTCCTGCTGCAGCAAAGCAGCCCCAAACCATGACACTTCCACCTCCATGCTTCACAGTTGGTATGAGGTTCTTTTCCTGGAATGCTGTGTTTGGTTTACGCCAAACATGTCCTCTGCTCTGGTGTCCAAATAATTCAATTTTGGACTCATCTGTCCAAAGAACATTATTCCAGAAGTCCTGGTCTTTGTCAACATTCTCTCTGGCAAATGTCAGTCTGGCCTTGATGTTTCTCTTAGAGAGCAAAGGTTTCCTCCTTGCACACCTCTCATACAAGTTAAACTTGTGCAGTCTCTTTCTGATTGTAGAGGCATGCACTTCTACAGCAACAGTAGCCAGAGCCTGCTGTAGATCTCGACATGACATTTTAGGGTTTTTGGAGACCTCTTTTAGCATCTCGCGGTCTGCTCTTGGGGTGAACTTGCTGGGGCGACCAGACCTGGGCATGTTGGCAGTTGTTTTGAAAGCCCTCCACTTGTAGACTATCTTCCGGACAGTTGAATGGCTGATTTCAAAATCTTCTAATCTTTTGAGATCTTTTTAAATCCTTTACCAGACTCATAGGCTGCTACAATGTTTTTTCTGAAGGCCTCTGACAGCTCTTTTGCTCTCACCATGGTGCTCACTCTCACTTCAACAGTCAGGAGCACACCAAACTAAATGTTTGAGGTTTAGATGGGGCAAGCCTCATTCAAAATGCTGAGTAACGATCTACTAATTATATGCACCTGGTGTGATATACCTGTGTATGTGATTTAACCCATTTTAAGAGGGCATACATGTGAGGAACAATGCGTACAATTTAGCAATGCTACCTGTCACAGGTATTCATTTTACTCGTTTTTCTCATGCTAAACCCTTCTCTACTTTTCCCTGATTGCAATGAGGTTTAGAGATAAACTCACGCTTGCCAAATATTACCAGGCTAATTCATAATATTCAAATGCAGATACTGTATTAGCGTTAAGATGGAATTCGAGGATGCTGTTATCGCTAGGTGACTGTGCTAACAGTAGCTATGGCCAGGTGATAATGCAGTTATTTTTTCTCATTTTCTTTTGACAAGAAATTACAGCAACACTTGGCAGCTGAAACTAAATTGTTGGTGGAATAACAGGTTGTTTTAAACTTGTCACTTCGATTGGATAAATGTTTCCTTTTGTTTCATTCAGGAAGCTCTACAGAGTATTGCTACAGATCCTGGACTGTATCAGATGCTTCCAAGATTCAGCACATTTATATCAGAAGGAGTGAGCATCTTTTCCAACTTCTTCTAATGTTCTGAAACATCAGTCACCTCATATAAAATACTCAAACATATTTTGTTGAAAATACTGACCTTATAGTCTCCTCTAAGGTTCGTGTAAATGTGGTGCAAAACAACTTGGCCCTACTGATTTATCTAATGCGGATGGTCAAAGCTCTGATGGACAACCCCACCCTGTATTTGGAAAAATACGTGAGTGAATAAAACAAAGTGATATTTTATTTTTTGA